GGTTCAACCTCAACTTCATCTTCTACTTCTTTGTCTTGACTATTCTCAATCATAGTCTCATATGTCCGTTTAGAAGAGTTTGCTTCATCTTTGGACTTACATAGAAATACATGTTCAAAGAATGAAACATTTCTCGATTCCATTATCGTGTTTTTGTGTATGTCAGGGATTTTAGACTCATGCAGAAAAAATCGATAAGTACTCTTATTATGTGCATTGCCTATGAAGATGCAATCTACAGTTTTCAGGCATATCTTTACCTTTTTTGGTGTTGGAATAACCACTTTAGAAAGACACCCCCACACTCGTAAGTATTTATGTGAAGATTTTCTTCATTTCCGTAACTCATATGGGGTCTTTTCCATTTTCTTTTAGGGCACATTATTTAAAAGGTAATTTTTTGATAACACAGTTTCTCCCCACATATTTTGAGGTAACCCATAACTTACTAACATTGCATTCATCATTTCTTTTAAGGTACGATTTTTTCGTTCAACAACGCCATTTTGTTGCGGAGAATAAGATGCAGTGGTTTCATGTATGATTCCGTGTTGTGCATAGAATTTAGCAAATGGTGCTTCATACTCACCATCTCGATCACCTCTCAATACCTTAATTTTCTTATTAAGTTGATTTTCAACTTCATTCTTATCGAGAATAAATTTTTCTATAGTTTGTCCTTACTTTTAAGTAGATACACATAACCATATTTTGTGATATCGTCGACAAAAGTAATGAAATAATTGTTGCCACATCTTGTTTGTAAAAAATTTAAATTACATACGTCGTTGTGATTTAAATCAAGTGGTTCTGTATTCTGTTCAATTGACTTAATGAGGACCTTGTCAATTTTGTCTTATCACGAGTTTCACACTTATGTTTAGAATCAATATGGAATGCTGGTATACAATTCAAGTTAATTAGTCTACGCAATGTATCATAATTAACATGTCCTAGTCTATCATGCCACAAATAGGAAGACTCAATCAAGTAAGCAGAAGAATTAACTTTATTAGTCTTCGTCTTTACAACCATTACATTCATCTTAAACATACCATCGGAAACATAACATTTTCCAACAAACATTTCACTTTTTGACAAAATAACTTTATCTGATTCAAATACAATACAGAAAACATGCTTATTCAAAAGCGACCTAGACACTAGGTTCTTGCGAATTTAAGGCACATACAACACATTGTTAAGAGTCAGCTTTTTCCCCGAAGTCATCTTCAAATCCACTTTTCCTTGACCCTTGATTTCAGAAGTTGCTGAATTTTTCATGAACAACATCTCCCCATTCTCAATTGCTTTGAATGCAGCAAACAACTCTTTATCAGAGCACACATGCCTCTAGCACCGGTGTCAATCCACCACTCTTTTGGGTTAGAACCCACCATGTTCACTTTAGAAATAATGGCCGCGAGATTTATCTCCGACACATCATCTGCCATGTAGTCAACCATATTTGCTTCTTTTTTATTATTCTTAATTGGCATCTACACTCCAAATACTTGTGACCTACTTTGTTACAATTGAAGCATTTTTCTTGAAATTTCTTCTTAGAAATGCCTTCTTTCGGTCCCAACTTAGCACATTTGCCACCAGATGTTCTAGACTTGTTCTTGAATGTCTTAGATCTTTGACCGTACTCAACAACATTGACTTTAGCTACAATAGGATTGAACCCCTTCTTTTCAGAACTTCTGTTGTCTTCTTCAATTCGAAATCTAACAGTCAGTTCTTCATCGTTCATTTCCTTTCGCTTGTGTTTAAGATAATTCTTGAAATCTTTCCACGCAGGGGGCGATTTTTCAATAATTACAGTCACTTGGAAAGTTTCACTCAAAATCATCCCTTCAGCATGAATCTCATGAAGAATCACTTAGAGTTCTTACACTTGATTGATTACTGTTTTGGAGTCCACCATCTTGTAGTCTAAGAATAGGCCAACAATAAATTTCTTGGCTCCGGCATCCTCAATCTTATATTTCCGATCCAATGACTCTCAAAACTCCTTAATAGTTTTCATTGTATTATACACATTGTATAACGATTATGCTAAACTGTTCATGATGTAGTTTCGGCATAAAAATATGAATGTTTCCACGCATCAAGTGCGCTAACAGCTTGAACATCTTCCACACCCCTTTGAGTTTATGAGTAGTTTCAATACCAAAATAGTAACGACATGGCCAGTTGGTTGAGCTATAGTCTGGCTCATAGCATAGCTTGTCAATTTAGCTATAGCAAAACTTGGCTCTTGAGTCACAACAAAACTTGGCATTTGAGTCACAGCAGAACCCACAATCTTTTGGATACCACATCCATATTGATTGGTTTGGTTGCAATTTCTGAAAACCAAACAAATATTAATTCTCAATAAAACCAACATGAACTTGTCTATTATGAATCTATTTTAAGATTGTTAGACCAAAATAATAGTGAATGGATATGGACTTAACAAATACCAGATGGACACATACTGGGTTTTCAACACATACCGAATTTGCAACTAGTTGAAATACCGTATAAACATATATCGGACACTAGTTAATCGAATATTAGCCAAACTATTACAAATTAAATAATTTATTAATCACAATAAAATAGAAAAAGTAATCTAAATTACTTTTAAAAAAATTAATTGAATGAACCGAGGTTTGCGTGAACACAATTTCCTTAAAACAAATTCGCCCCCTCACCATAGGTACTTGAGATTTAGTTCGAATGTTCGTTTATTATGATATAACGGAAAAATAAGTAGAGTCTGAACGCTACAGATACTACTCCGATGAACTGACCAAGTATCTGAACACTGTCACTAAGATCTTAACAGAAAATAAATTATGTATGCATACTGAATTATTTTTTCTTTTTATGTAGAAAAATAATTTTCTTTATGTGTGTCCAATAAAAGAAGATGGCTGAATAAATAGACTGTAATGGACAATTAATATCCAGGAGTTATGTTATTAACCAATATTAATCTGGCTGTTAATCTTTCCATTACCACATGCATAATCACATGAGTTTCAAGAGTTAAAAAAATTTGAAAGGTTTTAGGGAAATTAAAATAAAGGAAAAAGTGGACCGTCCTAATGGCCAATTTTTCACTACAACAAAAATAGTCATTAGCAACATTTAAAAGGCAACATTTGTTGATAAATGTTGCCAAAATGATCTTTTGGCAACATTTTAGTAAG